TAAGATCTATTCGTTTTTGTTTTATATGCAAAAAACAGATTTTGATAATTTTCATGTCTCCTCTGTAACTTCTTTATTTATGAAAATATTCGAATAGAAATTTCACATTCTCATGGCAGTTTTTCGAAGTGATTTCGAGAAAAATATGAAATTTATACCAACTCTTCTAGAATTTGAGATATCAGCACCAACTTCAGTTTTTCAAATGTAGGTCATAGCTCACTATGACATAGTTACAAATAACTTTTTTTTCTCTCACAGATGATATGTCGCAGTAATAGTTTTGTGTTGATAACAACGGAGTTATCGTCATTTATACAAAAACAAAAAATTATTTGGAAGCCGCCATCTTGAATTTATCAATTTCAACAGGAAAATCATGATCTCCGACCTCAAAAACTCTCACTTACCAATTTTGAATGGAATCGGACCAAATCTTGTCCGCCATCTTGGATCAGCCATTTTTTTCAATTTCAACAATACTTCCATGCTGTATTGTCACCGAAATTATGAACACCTGCCAAATTTCAAATCAATCGGAGTTATGGAATTTTTGTTGACATTAAAAAAATGGCTGCTCCAAGATGGCGGACAAGATTTGGTCCGATTCCATTCAAAATTGGTAAGTGAGAGTTTTTGAGGTCGAAGATCATGATTTTCCTGTTGAAATTGATAAATTCAAGATGGCGGCTTCCAAATAATTTTTTGTTTTTGTATAAATGACGATAACTCCGTTGTTATCAACACAAAACTATTACTGCGACATATCATCTGTGAGAGAAAAAAAAGTTATTTGTAACTATGTCATAGTGAGCTATGACCTACGTTTGAAAAACTGAAGTTGGTGCTGATATCTCAAATTCTAGAAGAGTTGGTATAAATTTCATATTTTTCTCGAAATCACTTCGAAAAACTGCCATGAGAATGTGAAATTTCAATTCGAATATTTTCATAAATAAAGAAGTTACAGAGGAGACATGAAAATTATCAAAATCTGTTTTTTGCATATAAAACAAAAACGAATAGATTTTATCAAAATATGTTTTTACATTATAGTTGGCCTTGACAAACTCCACATTTGGTGTCATTTAACCGACCTCGTATCTCTCACCGTTAAAAAGATACCCATGGTGAGCATGATAAGTGGGACACACTGTATAGGGTATTCGAATTCCAAGATATCGGCAGATGATGGGTTTTTAAATAGAACACCCTGTATATTTTCGCCTTTTCAGGTTCTTCCTGGAGAGCCGATTCCATCGATTGATCGGGAACTAGCGGAAATGATTACAGAGATATAGGGTGTTCAAAAACAGAAAATTTCAATGTTATAATTTTTTGTATCGAAACTACTATTATCGGTCAGAAAGGCTCACATATCCCTATCTAAACTTCTGATTCCCTATCTACTGACATCAGATTGGAAAAAAATACAGGGTGGTTCAAGATTCAGAATTTTGATCGCCTTATTGTATCTGTATAATGATGGTGGGAGTCTTTCTTGAGATTTTAGAATCATGTCGTATGTTGATATTTTGCTATCGCTTATTATAAACGTTCGGGATACCTTTAGGAAGTCGCACCAAGAAATTCTCGTTTGTGATACCCTCGAAATGACTTGAAGAACTCACAAAAAGAATTTCTGATTTAGATTACGTTCGGGTCAACTGTACAAACTCGCAGTGAGAATACGTCGTTTACGTTCCATTCGTGATAGCTTCAGAAACTCGCGAAAAGAATGTCTTGTTCGGGTTACGTTCCAGCTAGCTTAGGGAACTCGCAGTAAGAATTTCTGATTCAGGTTTATTTCGTTATAACTATGGGAATTCGTTGTGGAAATGAAATCGATAACTGGAAGCTGAGGTTTGGAAGATTACTACATGGAACTTCAAGAAAAAAAACTCCTAGTTACAGCACATGAAGATCTTTGCTACCTAACGATAGAAGTTCGCATATGATCCTGATGTTGATCTCTCTGAGATCTCGCGGAGAGGTTCGTGTTAACTGGGCTGGTACCATAGCCATCAATTCCGGCGTTCCACAATAATCAATGTTGGCACCAAAATTGTTCCTACTCCATATCAACGATCAATTAACAGCAACCTCGTGCCCTATCCACAGCTTTGCAGACGATAGAACTCTTCATAATGTAATCTCTCACTCACTCACGACGCAGGCAGGTCAATGCCACCAAAACTCAAGCCTGTATTTTCTCTTTACAGGTGGAACTGATCATGCCTGATATAACAATGTCTGGCACCACCATTCTCACAAAGACCACTATATTCATGCTTGGTATTACCATCAGCAATATTTTCTCATGGCAAAATCATGTCCGATCCATCGCAAAAGCTGCATCAACTCCAATTCTTGTTCTGTGCGCGAGAATCTACTCTCCACCTCAAGAGCTTCTCAAGATTCACAAAACGCAGATACGGCAAATTCCAGAATACTGTTTCCATGTATATGGTTCAGCACCAAAACATACGCTGATGAACTCAGAATCCATTCAGAAAAGAGCCATTTTGTTTTCACTCACTACCCAGGTAACAAGCTGACGTCATTTGTACGTCAATATATGGTCATTTATGGTCATTGACGTCATATGACCTCAAATGTCATCTACATCAAGGAAAATCCATAATCAAGAAGTTTCTCATCTCTGTTATATAAAAACGTTAGTAGTTATGTTATATAACATATATTATTATGTCACTCATCATATATTATGCTTCATAATAATTTTTCCTCTAATCTGTGCGAGATGTGTGTTTTCGATGGTCTATGAGATAATTGTTAATTATATACCTTCTGTGCAAAGTATTCTCCCTATAGCTATTGAAAATATAAGACCGAATGTCACGTCATAAAAAGATTATAACGTTTTTATTCCGGAATGCGAATTCAAATCAGAGCGGGAGAGTGCGTAGAGAACTGTATTTGATTGGTCGGCACGGACCTTGCGCAGACATGCGAACGTCGACCGCCAGCGCCAACCCACAGCCGTCTTCAGAAGACGGCTGTGGCCAAGCTGTTCACTTTCGCTTCGCCGTTGCGGCCATGATGACCATAACAAAATAACAATACATAGAAGGTCATCATTATCATGTCATTCGGCTATCTATGTTGTGTGGTGTGGTGGTCATAATTATTCATATTCATATATCAAGTAGTAGAATTTGAGGATGGCAGCATGGTCATTATTTTAGACAAGTGGTGTATGCCGAAAGAGCAGAATGTGAATTGGACGCCATTGAAGGAATACCATAGGGTTCTGAGAAATCTCTTGAGTGCATCATCCGAATGGGATAAGTTCCCAATGAAAAGAACATTTTATGAAACTGGTATTTATAGTACCTACCTATAATATTATTTTACATTTAATGTGGTAAAGGAACATCAATATAATTATACAAAAAAAATCTCATCTTTTCTGATAATATTGAAACAACCCTAATGCAACAGTGTTTTTTTTTTACCTACAGAAAATTTCGATTAAGCAAACAATGAACTGAAACATGCAGAAGATTTCAGTGATATAATTAATCGTAAAGATCACGTCATTTTGACGCCATTAGGATGTCGTCATTTTGACGTCATTAGGATGACGTCATTTTGACGACATGGAAATGACGTCATTCGTTTTCGACTTAGAAGGTCATATAAACGTCATTATGACGTCATTTTGGAAGTCATCCTGACGTCAGGCCTGACGTGATAATGACGTACAAATGACGTCAGCTTGTTACCTGGGTAACTCTTTGACCACATTAGAACACCCTAGGAGATTCGGCGACCTTACACATTTCTATAGATACTTCCACATAATTTGCTCTTTTACTATACTAGTCAGGCGAACTAGACATGTTCAGTCACCACATCCTTTCGTCGTTGATTCAGGAAAGTATCGAACAATCCTCCATCAAAACTCGTTTGTCTATAGAACTGTGAAGCTTTGGAATTCTTTGCCAATGGAAGTATTCTCAAGGACTTCCAAATCTCCAAATTTTCAAAACAATCTGACACCTACCTCCTCTTCCTATCATCCCTAGGTACGCACGATGTTCCACAATCAATACAGGAATATTTTTTCGTGTGATCCAAGAGATTATATGAGAAACAAAATATCGATGAGAATGAAATGTGAATCGCATTCGCAGGAAAATCAGAGATAAATGAAAGTTCAGAAAAAGAATCAAGAGAAATGCTAATGCAAAGAAATTTAGGAAGGTCAAAGTTAATTATCAGTTGTCACGAAATCTACCATTGTTGTTCTGTTTCTGAACATTGTGTGGAAGTGACTTCGAGCTTTTTGTATTTATTCAATTTTTTAATTTCATTCCACTTTGAGCGTTGTGGCTATTTTGTAATTGGAATTACGTCAGTCGGGCAGCCAGCCACTTCGGTATGAAGATTTTGGTTTTGGAGTGTTTATTTTCTTCTTCTCTACTCAGATGGCGTTGCTCTCATATTGATTGTCTATGGAGGACGCTTTTGAGGGAATAAAATGCCAATTTATTTGGACAGCTGGCTGGCGGCTGGCGACTGACCTGCACTGATGAGAGTCAAATAGCTCGAAACCGGTCTGTATAGGTGTCTAGTGTGGCCTGGTTTGATCGAAATCAATAGGCATTCAGGAAATAATCACTTGTATCAGTATAGGTCTGACCGAGAGTCGATGCATATATTTCCGAAGGATGTAATTTGATGTTCTGCAGATATGTAGTTGTTATTCTCTCGTAATCTACCATTGTTGTTTATTTTATAAACGTAGTATGGAAATGACTTCGATCTTTTTTTATTCATTCAGACTTTGGTATGGTTCCAAACAGACGAAGGTTATGAGGAATACTCCAGGAGGAGTAGGGATTGGTTGACAAGTTTCCAGAAGCACGGATGGGTGTTTTTCGAAATGGAAACCTCATAGAGGAAGGTACCGGGGGGCACTGTATATTCACAGAATGATATCTTGTAATCTCTGATTGTATTCAGCGATTACTCTACAAATTCCTCACCTTTCTTTTGGATTTGGCGATGCGGATGTCTCTCGAGTTCTCCGCTTCGCCCGGAATACGGTGACACCAGATCACTGCGGCGATGCTGGTGTAGGTGAATAGCAGCACGATGGAAGGGATCACGTACTGCATCACCATCAGGAACTGCGAAAACAGTATGCCGTACTCTTCGCCGATGTCAGAGTAATCCTCTTGACACACGTACCTGCCAAAAAGGGATTTAATTCAGTTAAATTTCATTTTCCTACCACCACCTTTGAAAACAGCACAAAACACATTGATTTGTTATTGAGGAAGTGACTCGTTTCACTATGACAACATATAACAGATAGAAAGTTCGAAAGTAAAACTTACATGGGTGGAAATATTCGAAAATCGCACAGTAACAGGGTCTATAGATTATGATGTAACAATGAATGATTATTATGCTGAATTATGGTAAGTTAAGTTATGGTCAAGGTAATGGAAAGTTAGTGTCGATTCAACATAAGTTATTGTAGTTAATGTTGACGTAATGTTAAGTTGATGAAAATATGAAATCAAGTTAATTGAATTAATCGAAAGTTGAATTAATGTCAATGTATTGGCAATTTAGTGATGAATGTGAAGTTGATGTCAATTCGATATTGAGTTGATGTTAATTTGATTTTGAGGTCATGTCAAGTTAATTTTGAGTTGATGTTGATTTAATGTTGAGTAAATGTTAAATAATAATTGGGTTGATGTTGAGTTAATGTTGAGTCAATGTTAGATTAATTTCGAGTTAATGTTGAGTTGATGTTGAGTAAATGTAAAGTTGATATCGAATTAATGTTGAGAATATGTTGAAATTATGTTGATGTTAAGTGGATGTTGAGTTGATGTTGAGTTAATGTTGAGTTAATGTTGAGTTAATTTTGAGTTCATATTGAGTTTATGTTTAGTTGACGTCAAACTGATCATGTCATTCACATATTGAAGTGAAATTGAATAATAATGATAATAATATCACCTCCATGTGATCGAATATGATTAGAAACATGATCCCTACTCTGGTCTAATAAACACTCATGACATATAATATAAATATTTGTGGTCGTAGGGAAAATAGTGTACAAAACTCGTTGGAATGTGCATTTCCTGCACTCGTTTCGTTCGCCGCTCTGCGGCTCGTGCTAAACGTCCACTCGCGCGAAATATGTCACTTTCCACACTAGTTATGTAATATACTATTTCACTTATCAATTATAATTGCGGATTATTTCGATAACAAGAACTTTTCAGAAAATAGTAGATTGTTTTATTGGGATCAAAAGTGACACTTACGATACGAGGTCGGTTAAATGACACCAAATGTGGAGTTTGTCAAGGCCAACTATAATGTGAAAAAATATTTTGATAAAATCTATTCGTTTTTGTTTTATACGCAAAAAACAGATTTTGTTCATTTTCATGTTTCCTCCGTAACTTCTTTATTTATGGAAATATTCAAATAGGAATTTCACATTCTCATGGCAGTTTTTCAAAGTGATTTCGAAAAAAATATGAAATTTATACCAACTCTTCTAGAATTTGAGATATCAGCACCAACTTTAGTTTTTCAAATGTAGGTCATAGCTCACTATAACTTAGTAAGAAATAACTTTTTTTCTCTTACAGATGATATGTCGCAGTAATAGTTTTGTGTTGATAACAACGGAGTTATCGTCTTTTATACAAAAACAACAAATTATTTGGAAGCCGCCATCTTGAATTTATGAATTTCAACAAAAAAATCATGATCTCCGACCTCAAAAACCCCCACTCACCAATTTTGAATGGAATCGGACCAAATCTTGTCCGCCATCAATTGACAAAAATAGCTGCTCCAAGATGGCGGACAAGATTTGGTCTGATTCCATCCAAAATTGGTAAGTGGGGGTTTTTGAGGTCGGAGTTCATGATTTTGTTGTTAAAATTTATGAACTCAAGATGGCGGCTTCTAAATAATTTGTTGTTTTTGTATAAATGACGATAACTCCGTTGTTATCTATACACAAAACTATCACTGCGACATATCATCTGTAAGAGAAAAAAAAGTTATTTGTAACTAAGTCATAGTGAGCTATGACCTACATTCGAAAAACCAAAGTTGGTGCTGATATCTCGAATTCTAGAAGAGTTGGTATGAATTTCATATTTTTTTCGAAATCACTTTGAAAAACTGCCATGAGAATGTGAAATTCCTATTTGAATATTTTCATAAATAAAGAAGTTACGGAGGAGACATGAAAATGATAAAAATCTGTTTTTTGCGTATAAAACAAAAACGAATAGATTTTATCAAAATATTTTTTCACATTATAGTTGGCCTTGACAATCTCCACATTTGGTGTCATTCAACCGACCTCGTATCTCTCACCGTTAAAAAGATACCCATGGTGAGCATGGTAAGTGGGACACACTGTATATGAAGGCTTCCAAGTGGTCGAATATGTTAGGTGTGGAATTTCCACTAGGATATAGTTATGAAGTTGTTTTGTTTTTCTATTCAACCCACACGTATTCAGGGTAACCTATACTAAATCTGAACCTATGGTTTGCTAACAAAATTTCGTAACGCTACATTGAAGAAATCTCGAATTAATTCCTTATTTGAGTAGAATATCATCAGAATTTCCTGAATAATTCATCATTAATTTCTTCTTAGTCGATGAACCGTTAGCGCTAGTTGAAAATTGAAATGTTTTGGCTGTCTTCGCAGCATTCTTTTTCCTTTCCAGAACCACAGATTTATACCAATATGGCTGTCAGTTCATAAATTCCTTATAGTTCATCAATACTAATTAGATTTGATATGGAGAATATCCAGATCATTCTTGCGAAAATTTCACAATGTGCAAGCTGTTTGCTGTTGCTGTTTAAAGTCCGGAAGTATGAAGAATCAAATTTCACCATCAACAAGTTTCAAAAAAAATAATTTCTATCACAAGCTTATCTGAAGTAAGAAAACTGTATGTGTATCACGGCTTGATTTTGATACTGAACTCGCCATTAATACATAACACACATGCATACAAAACAAGAGCTACTAGCAACCAGTCTGTCACAATTCCTCTATATACAAAAAGTCAAGCGCAGTAACTAATTTCCTACCATGGAACGAAACTAGTCAATAAATCACCATCACAGTTGAAAAACATGCAAAATAAAAAAAGTATGAAAGAAGAGATACAAAAATAAATTGGTATACATCATAACACATTCAAAAAACTATTTGAAAGAATTTCCCTTTGTTCCTCATTCGCATCCTTCAGATCTTATATATTCTTGTATATTCTGTACATAAACTGGAATATGTTACTACTAATTAAGTCACATTGTTCATATTGTTATGATATTACAGGGTTGAATCTGAATATATGTCCATCTTAGGATGTTTCACAACACAAGCATTTCTTAGGTGACATGCTGTGGATAAAATTATTCATTATGATGATAATGTCAACTGAATAAAGCTATCTATCTATCGAATATATCTATTTCCTATGAAATGACCTTGGTGCCTCAGAAGTCGTTCGTAATCCACTAGAAGCTGTAGAGGTACCTATCCCCGCTCTTTCCATAACCCCTATAACCAAGTAACGACTTCTGGGAAGTTGGTTCCTAATCTCGCAGTAGCGATATGCAAATATTACAATTTTTTCATTCATCATTAAAGAAAAAACTGACGGAACACGATATATTTTTCACCAATTTTTTAGTTTAATTCACTATTACTTCATGAAAGGACCCCGCACGAAAACACGGGAAATTGGCTCTCGGTCGAATTTGCTGCAATTATACTATGTTGTTATGGGATTGCTCATTAAAAAAGTATGTGAGTTTGAAAAGTTTTGTATGTTTAGTTCCTGAGATATAAGCCGACGAAGTTCGTAAACACGTCGTATCGGGGTAGGACTGACAAAGAAAGACCATTTTTTTAGTATAAATAAGAGAAAATATGCTAGAAAATGTATTGATCGGAACTCAAATACATTTCTAGTTTTGATCACATGGCACGGTCAAAAAATTCATTTTTCGGAAAAAAAATTCTAGTACTATTCCAAAACCAACAAGTTATATTTTGGTGGAACATTATAGTTTTAGTCTATCGTAGGCTTCGAAAACGTATTTTCATTCATGATAATTATCTCTGTTCGAAAAATGAATTATTTGAATTTTGTATTATACCCCTTTTGGACAACAATTGACAGCTTGTTTTTGATCACAAACAAAGGATTGATTCATACTGTTGATTCAATGAAAGCTGAGGTAACTCACTAGCGAATTCAGTTGTTCAATATTGCTTTTCATTTAGATACAGGGTGTGTTAGATTTTGTTGAAGATTATTTAGCATGTTTCAATTGAATATCTCGAGAACAGTTCCGTTGATTTGGATCTCATTTCACTCACACTATTTTGGATATGTTGACTATCATATGCAAGAAATTTTTCAATGTTTTATGTTCCGTTTCTGAGATATGCATCTTTGGGTTCACAGTATTACAGGTATTATAGGGTTATTACCTCGGATATTACTATCGATTCAATAGAACTTTACGAAATCCATACTGTTGAGTTTCACATTGTTATTCTATGTGGTTCGTGTTGTTTATAGTAATTATTGATTTTTCATAGTTTCATAATGTAATTGAATGTTTGAAAGAATTTCCCTTTGTTCCTCATTCGCATCCTCCAGATCTTATATATTCTTGTATATTCTGTACATACTGTTCCCACATATGGGGTTCAGCCGAGGGTTCAGCACCATAACATACGCTGATGCTCTTAGATTCCATCCAGAGAAGTTATATTTTGGTGGAACATTATAGTTTTAGTCTTTCGTAGGCTTCGAAAACGTATTTTCATTCATGATAATAATCTCTGTTCGAAAAATGAATTATTTGAATTTTGTATTATACCCCTTTTGGAAAACAATTGACAGCTTGTTTTTGATCACAAAAAAAGGATTGATTGATACTGTTGATTTAATGAAAGCTGAGGTAACTCACTAGCGAATTCAGTTGTTCAATATTGCTTTTCATTTAGATACAGGGTGTGTTAGATTTTGTTGAAGATTATTTTACATGTTTCAATTGAATATCTCGAGAACAGTTCCGTTGATTTGGATCTCATTTCACTC